ACAGGCAGACAGACTTACACAATATTATTCTGTTACTAAAACTGGTGCACAGTTGCACATTTTGTTCGGTTGTATTATGATCTTTGATTTTAGTTGTGATTAACATACATTGTACACATACGCATGCATTCCCACAAATTTCATTGAGTTTTGTCGTACTCAGGGCTGTGTTACAACTATCCCTGACTTTGGGGCAAATTGTAACATTTCACTCCATGTGTTTGAGGCTAAACCATTCATTGTTTGTGATACTTTGCTGTTTAACAGAAGACACTTGCAGGTAGTTTGAATCAAATTTTCAATGTGAAAAAGAGATACAGGGAAAAAAGCCTTACAATTATCCCTAGTCTCTCAAATTGGAAATTTATGTTCAAATGTGAGCATATATATATATATATATATATTTGTGATACAAGGGAATCAGATACATCCAATACATAGTATACCTACAGAAAGAAAGGTATATGAAGGGTAATATGATAAACTTCATGGCATATTTGACTATGTAGTATGCCGTACGTGTGTAGTTTTCACGGCAGCAGAAGGACATACAGGGCCACACTGTATAATATCCATGCATTGGCCTGACATCCCATTATAATCTGAGTACAGAAAATAGTCCCTTTTTACCTCAAACTTCTACTGAATTAAGTCTAAGAAAAAAGTAGATCCAACCATTAGTACATGAATTAGTGTATCATTATGGGTTTGTATGAAACAAAATATACCATGTTTATTGTTTAAATGGATTCCATTATGTAGTTATGAAACTATATTTAATGTATCCAAATTTACTAATGAAGTAGGAGGGATATCGGTGAGGAATATGCAAAAAATATCCATAATTAAAACTTTTTGTATTGTCTTTCATCCTAATTGTTTTGTTGGAAGACAGAGTATTCATCTTGAGGATTAGAGAAATACCCTTGAATATAGTGTGTGTTTGATGAACGAGGTAAAAAGGTTGGAAATGGTTTCTGTATGATGAGCGATACATTATGTGTAATACATGGAATACAGCCAGGATACTCTGGAGATTACGAACACAGTGGATATTGACTTTCAAATAGGGTTCACTTGACCTTGACCTTTATTTCCCTGCTGAATACTGATTGAGCGGTATAACTCATTGTACACAGTGTGAGACTCCCCTTCAGAGCGCAGAACAGCAAGATCTTCAGAGAGATAGGAACCTTTGTTTTTCAGGAAAAAGGAGTGTTGTATTTATACAAGCAGTACTTGAAGTAATCAGTTATATCAACTCATAAACATACAGTGCATAAACCCAGTTTGCACATGCCGTATAAAGTACAAACACAGCATATCATGAGTGTAGAGAACGAGGAAATTGTGTATGAAGATACAAAACAGCAGTCCCTAAGCATTTTTTAGAGGACATTAACCAGGGCTGGCAGCTCTCACCCGTTTTGACTCACGCTCACGCAAGAAGTCTTATTCCATTATAAAGCTATAATTAGCTACAACAAAAGCGTTGGGTAGTTTGCAAACCCTACAGACTATTTACAAGGTAATAAAACGGTGGCATCCATGTAAATGACTGTACAGTACAGACTTGTCTTGAATTGAAAATCTCACGCCAGCCAGGTGACCAAAGTTGACAATCCTGACACAAACCGTGGAAATAAATTTGCCATCAATAATGACAGCTAGCAGCATCAGTGGGTTTAGGTTTTGGTGTTGAAATCCATTCTTTCCTTAATCGAGTTGCCCATCCATTAGAGACTAAGAGTCACACAACTCTTCCACTGGTCAGATTACTGATAACACATCACACGTCAGTTCTGGGGTTCAGCTTTCCACACACTCCGCTGGGTAGTAATTACTTCTGTCATCTTCCCCTGTCAGTGGAGCACCACTGAAATTAAGATGATTTAGCTATAAAATTGATGGTTTCAGAAACTTTCAGGACATTGCTTTGGGTTAGTAATATATTTCTTTTCATCCACATTAAGTTTTATTTTTGTGAAGACATTATTCTGCTAGTTCACAAATCTGAAATGGAACAAATTTTTCTAAAATATGCAATATGTCATTCATGATAAATAAATGTTATGTGTTTGGAATTCTGTACCTTTGCTTGACACTGGGGCTGTACCTGCTAAACTGCCAATTGTACCCTAACTGTAGGTAACTATCTTGAAAGGTTCAGAAATGGACTCTGAGGAACAATTCTGTACCATTGATGGTACATTAGTGCTGTATGTATCTTTGGGACCCATTTATATACTTTTAAAGGTGCAAGTACAAGGGTACAGCCCCAGTGACAAGCAAAGGTACAAATTTTTACCCTTTTTTCTGAGATTGTAAAAGCATAGCAAACTGGCACCTTTTTCTGACCATAATGCTAGCAATTAACACATTTTGAAAGCTATGGATTAAAATGCAATATTTTACATTACATCCGTCCAGCCGTCCATTGTCCAGGCCAGGGGGTCAGCAGCCTGAGCAGACGTGCCCACATCTCCATCTCCCCAGCCACTTCCTGCAGCTCCTCTTGCAGCCAGGAGATATATAATCTTTCCAGTGTGTCCTGGATCTTCCCCCTCCCAATCGGACGCACTTGAAGGACCTCCATTTTACATTACACGCAATTCATATTTGTATATATCATCAATTATTGATTAAACAGTAACACGCGCATTCTCCATATTAATTAAAATTTCCTGCGTACGGAGCAAGTGCAGAATGCAACGTAAAATCAGAGCAGGCCATACACTCTATATAATCCAAAGCGGAGCATCAAAGCTAATGCGTATGAATGTCAGAAATAAACATTAGGTTATGATTACACAGTGGGTGATGTAAGCCCCAATAGCCAACTGTTGCATGTCAGGCTGGGAATAGGCGAGTCCCCCCGCCCCCTTTAACCACATGTGATTGCCCCAGATGAGTATCCTTTTCCACATAAATAACAGCTTATTCCCCCCTGGAACCGGAATCTAAGCACATCTCAAACTGTGCGGAGCACCTGCGGCCGGGAGGCCGGGTCCCCCCCTCCCTGCATCGTCGAAAGAGGAGCAGCGCCGTCCTTCCAGCAAGCTCTGCTTCCTGTCGTTAGCACGCCGCTGTGCCGGGTCAGTCATTAGGCGACAGGGAAATGATATGGTGTGCGGCGACTCGGGGAGGAAATCACAGAGCGGAGCCGCTAAGTCCCCCTGTCACGCTGCCCACGGTCGCTCTGGCTCAGTAGGCGGAGCCAAAGCAGCCAGTCCAGCTGCTAGAACTTCGTTGTCACGCTTTGCTCGAAGGGACCATGTCATGCCACGCGGAGTTAACCTTATAAACGCCGTATGCTATAATGGCTGTGAAAAGGTTAATTCTAGTGTACAGAACTGATAGTTCTTTAAAATGGCATAGGACAGTATACTACGAAGGATCCATTACAATAATTTTCAAGATGCTGACTGATGATACAGTCTTACAATTTTGGCTTGATTTATCTCTTTAGTTATATTTGACATTAGTGTCAGGCCATTGCACTGGCGTATTTAGGCATGGGCGACATGGGCAGCTGCCCAGGCTGGCATTTTGCCGGGGGTGGCACTGGGCGCACACAGAAAGACATAGAAAATTGAAATGGTGACATTTTTGTGAAATCGGTTTTCTATCCCTCATTTGCACATCCTGTCAGTAATATGTCAGTGTGTGAGCCAGTTAAGCTTGTCTGGTTCTAGTTTGTGAGCTACTGTAGGCATGCTGGGTCAGATGGGGACCCGGAGTGGGCTGAGCTAAGGACGCACTACCGGGAGCCCCAGGTAGGGGGAGCAGGGGAGTCTATCAAATAGCCCACTTCTTAACTTTGTACAGTACTTATGCAATTAGTAAAATCAGTAACACTATGAAATGCTACTAAACTACAATTCAGTTATAATAGCATAAATAAATAGTTTCATGGGCATATTGAACCTTGTTCATTTCAGATGAACTATATTCTGAAAACAGGACACTGAGTTTCTAAAGTAGGTAAATAAAAACATACAAATTGTTCTAATGAGCCCATTTGCCCTGACAAACAGAAAATGCATCGCAGCGATTGCTCTCTGGTTCATCGCA